ATATTCCTTACACCAAAACAACACATTCATTCGTACCTTTCTTACTACAACCACCATAATACCTCTTTGTCTCTATGAAAATACTAACTAGTCCCCATATTTACATAGTGGAAAGTTCATCAGTACAAATACCACAAAAATATTTATAGAAAAGGCACGGAAACTACAGGCTTTATTTTTCTCCCCATAACTTTTTTCCGATATCAAATTGCTTATGGCCATATTATGTTGAAACACCAGTTCCCATACGATTAGTCAAGTACCTGGTATTCCCAAGTGGTCACCCATCTAGGTATTGAATAGGCTCAATGTTGTTTAACATTGAGCCTGGTCAACACCTAATTGGGTGACCACTTGGGAATACCAGGTACTGTAATCTTGGATTTGCGGGTGGTATAATAGGTAATGGCTTGTTAATCAGAGAGCCAAGTTCCAATTCCAGTTTGGTTCATTATATTCACTTACATGCAAATATCCTTGGGAAAGGCATGAATCCACCTCTTCTCCCCCCAGCTATGGGCTAATTAGTAAGACTTGTATCCCTAAACCCTTATAATCTCCAAAAATAAAATAAAATTGTGTCAAAGTATTTAGATTTCGGCATTAAATAACCCATACAGGTTGATATACCACTAAACAAAATCAACCAACCAAGCCAATAAAATATATAGATTTCAGCATTAAATAACCCATAGAGGTTGATATGCTGCTAAATAAAAACAACCAACCAATGTATATCAAATCAACAATTTTAAACTTTCTTTTAACACTTTCCTATCTCATTGATTTGTTCAGATATTTATTTTTAAATGTTATTGGATTTTGAGCCAACTTCATTGTAAACCTATTTTCAGACACTAGTGTTTTATGTACATAAATACTTGAGTCTATTAGCCTCCATTATATTTTTAATAGTATGACATTATTACAATTTAATAATATTTTCAGCCACCATGCTTTTTTTGTTTTTGTTTTTTTTAATCAATTTACCCCAAGCAAGGCAATAATGCCACTAAAATGCAAGGGACTACTGGAAGTGAAAGAAAAAGAGAAGACTTTCGCATGAACTGGAAACCCAATCATAAACAAAGGATAAAAAGACTAGGGAGGAGAGTGAACCGGGCGATAGGTAAACCTATCTATTTATATTAAACTGATGTGACTCTAAGCAAAGACTAGAAAGTAGTTTAGACCAGTATAGAGCTACACACCATCAACATTTTAAATTGTTCTTGGAAAAATAAGGTGGCAATATAGATGTTACATTTGTTTTCACATTTTATACACAAAATGTAACAAACATTATGGGACAGAGATAGGTATATAAGTAAAATATTTTTTATAAGGAAGACATTTTAAAAGGACCATTTTTTTTTTAGAAAGTCTTTCAGAAAAATAACAGATTTAAAAAATAGAGGAGAAAATAATTCAATGAATATGAAACAAAATAAGAATAAAATATGAACATATTAGCAAACATGAACGTTCATGCCTGCAAAAAAAACCACGTGTCAAAAGGATGGTTTTACATGATGACACATTCATTTTAATTATCTTCACTTTTTGGCAATGTTTGTTTTAAAAAGCAATGATTACAATTGTAATAGAACATATGATGAAAGTGAATTTATATCTTTTTTGTTGTTCTTGAGAATTTACAACAAAAATATTAAAAACTACTTACTTATTAGTGTTTATTTACAAGAATAATTTTATATTTACAACATTCTAAAAAATAATACAATTAAAACAAATGCAATGCAATATTTATCGTTTACCAATTTATAAAGAAATAAATATGAAAACAAATTTTTATTCATAAATTTATTACAATTCCTTTATAGTTTTTTAAAACAATAAACATTGCTGAGGAATGAAAGTAGTTAAAATAATAGCAGTGTCATGGAAAAAGATGTCTTTTTGAGACTCCAGATTTTTGTAGGTATCAAGGTCGAATCAAGCCGAGCTTCTCGACTTGACGGTCGAACTTTCTGCCTCTGAGCAGAAAGGAACCCGGACGAGGCTCCGCCAAATGGCAGAATCTCGTTCGGGGAGAATGACCAACCCGATCCCGTTTATACGGGTTATACGGGCATTTTTTGGCTGAGCCTACAGGCTCGGGAAACCCACGTAAAAACTCGGCCTTGTGCCACATGCAACCCTCGTGGGGGGGTGGCTACATACCGTATCAAGGTCTATATTTGCTGAAACAGAATTGCAAGTGTAAAGCTCCAAAATAACGGCCACTTTTTCTTCACATAGGAAATTTTAAAACAGAAACATCAGCTTTGAAAGACTTGTTGAAAGTGTAGATACCTGGTCATAAGTTTATTTCCAACCTTCAACAAGAAGGTTTAATATTTATTTTCATTTATTTAGTCATTAGTAAGTATATTAATATATAGATAATAACTAAATAAACGTAGCTCTGGGGTGTTTAATACTTTCAGTATTCTTATGTCACCCCTAAACATATTTACAGGTTACATCACTATTCGATATGGACTATACCGAAAACCCTTTTATATCTGGAAATCAATAAAGAACAAGATTACATTTTTAACAATTGCTGAAAATTCTTGCACAAAATCAATATTTAGCCACAGACACCTTTTAAATCTATATTCACACACTAGTGTTTTACATACATAAATACTAGAATCTGAATATTGGCCTCCAATATATTTTTAATAGCATTACAGTAAAATCACTTTTGAGCCACCCTGTATTGTAAACCTATATCCAGACATTAGTGCTTTACATACATAAATACTTGAGTTTGAATATTGGTCTTCAATATATTATTCTTATGTCTACAACTGCTGCAGATAACATGTAATGCAATACAATCTGCCACATGGTTGGGTCATTGGTAACTAAACCAGTTTCCCTATACTAGGCTTTTCTGTTGAGGAGGGTGGCTAGAAACTCTGCAAGATTAAAAAGAAGCACTGTCAAAGGGTGGATGAACTTTCTTGTAGCACAATGGAGTAAACTTGGTTTCCCCAGTATAGAGAGTTCCTTTGATGAAATCAACAGCTACATGTTTGTGACTATGGCAAGCTGGCAAACATTGGCTGTGGTTTGACCCTGAGAGGGATTGGTTCCATCAGGTCTATTTGTACAAGATATACTACACATGAATGAATACCTCTTCAGCTTCAAACCCAGATATTTGACCGTCCTGGGTATGACGATAAACTGCATCCGCGTCCAGGGTAAGACAATAAATTACTACCAACAGCAAGGCCTCTGATCAGGAGGTTTTGATGAGCGTGGAAACACCTCTTAATTGCTGGTGTTTCCAGGTCCACCCTGACCCTGGGTGGTAGCACCTGTCAGGGTCCCAGCTATGGGCAAATAGTTAACCCCGAAACTGAGGTAAAAAAAGCATTATAAAAGCGTAAAAATAGGTTCTAATACCAGAAATACTTTGTAAAAAAAATTATTACCAGAAATAATTTTTTGAAGAAAAAAAATCTATTATAGCAATATATTTTTGAAAAAAAATATTACCAGCAATACATGTTTCAAAATAATATTACCAGCTATACATTTTTGAGGAAAGAAATATTACCAGAAATAGATTTTTGACAAAAGAAAATATTACCAGGAAAAAAAAGTTGTCAGCATTAAATAACCCATTGAGGTTGATATGCACTAAAAGAACAAACCAAACCAGATATTTGAAGAAAACTGGTCAGGTGCTCAATTGTACAACAGTGACCCTATGACCTCATCCGATCATGAGACTGACGATGAGGATCAATATATTTTTCAATAGAGTTGTGTATGCACAAAAAGTTGTAATTTAATTGTATGATTTTGTTAGTTTATAAACCTGTAGAATGTTATTCTATCAGGCTGGAACAAAGGTTTATAGCATTTTTAAAGTGAATTTCAAAGACAATATTTACATATTTGTACATATATACAATTTTGTTCCACTACTTTTTGTCACATTTGAGGTAGATTCATAATCCCATCCTCCCAGAATTTAGCTTTGTCCTGTGTGATGGGCATCCTGGGTATGACGATAAACTACATCCAGCAGCAAAGATTCTGATTGGGAGGTTTTGAGGAGCGTGGAAACACTTCTTAATTGCTATTGATCCCAGGTCCACCCAGACCTGGTGTGGTAGCACCTGTTAGGGTCCCAGTTATGAGCAAATAGTTAACCCCCAAACTAGGGTCAAAACACTATGAAAGTATAAAAATAGATTTTTTTTGTAAAAATACCAACAATGCATTTGATTCTTGACAAAAACCCTCTTTTCAATAATACATCAATGAAACCTAATCTACAAACATATTCTGTTCATATGAACCTATCCTAAAAATTTTGGTGGCATTAAATAATCCATTGAGGTTGATATGCTGTAAAACAAAATAAACCTAAATCATCTGTGTGATGAATTGATCTAAGTGATTTTTATAGACTTCCAGAGAATCAAACTTTTTTACCCATTAAGAGAATTTTGTTGGGGTTGAAATAATTTGTAATCCAAAGGTACAGTGTTAGGTTTAGTAAGACATTGGGTCTATCAAGAAATATGGGGTCTAGCATTGTCTAGATAGAAGACTACATACTTCTGAATTGCCAATCCTGGATACTTTGTAACTAATGGTGCATTTAATCAGTCAAATTAAGAATAGTATTTGTTTGAATTTATTGATTAATTTGTTTGTTTTTATAGCTTATCAACCTTTTGTAAGTTATTTAAAGATGAAACATATATTTTGATTGTAAGAATAATTTTGTTTTTTTTTTCATAGTGATTATTATATTAAAACTTATTATTATATTAACTTATTATTATATTAACACTTTTTGAAGGTAATGATTTTCAGATACAAGTCCTACTATTTAACCCATTAATCTTAAATTGGAGAAGAGGTGGTTTCATACATTTCCCAAAAGTATTTGTGTATAAGTGAATGTAATGAACCCAACTGGAATTCAAACTCAGCTCTCTGATTTCTCATTCTGAGACATTTATAGCACATAGTATTCCCAAGCAGTCACTCATCTAGGTACTGACCAGGTTCACTGTTGCTTAACTTCAGTGATCAGACAAGAACTGGTGTTTTGAATTTAGTGCCTGATTTTGCAGAAGGAACTCATACAATATCCTTCTGATCCCACCAAATACACTGCATTACCTTCTTTGGATGCAAATCAGCTTTTGAAGTGATTAATGTTGGCTTAATTAATTAATCACAGGACCTTTATTGATTCACATTGTTGTAAGCAATCTATTTTTAATCACTTATAGTTCTTTTCAAAAATAGGTAATATTTATTGCATTTGAACAGAGAATTGTAAATGGAAATGTGGGCCATTAATTTTTTTTTTTTTTTTTAAATCATCATACACTCAAACATTGTAGCAATTCACATAACCAAGTGTTTTCAAATGTCTTATGGCACTCATGAGATATATAGAGTTTATCTTCAATGTCTTGTGTCATCTGATCCATATTATTTTTAATCAGTATTTCAATTTTGTCATCATGAACAATTGCAGGCTTTCCAGAATGTTGTCTGCCTTTTAGATTAAATTTTTCATTTCTAAACCTAGCAAACCATTTACAAACAGGCACCATCTCCATAAAGGACATATTTTTTTGTTGTTTGCACAGCCATTTTCATTTCTGAAAATAAGGGAGCATCAAAGAATGAAAATGCATCTCATTTTCTTCCATTTTCACTCTTACCATAAAAACACTTAAAATTCATAAACCACACATACAGAAAGCCACAAGGAAAAGTTACCTTCCAGAATATGTCATAAATTTCAGTCACATGCCAAAAAAAAAAAAAAATATATATATATATATATATATATATATATATTTATTGAAAAAAGCTATAAACATTTCTTCCAACCCAATAAATTATTTTGCCATAGGCAAATTTACAAAATGTAGGTCAGACCTCAAGTACAGTTAAACAATTTTTAAAGTGTCAAATTTTATTGTGAAAATTTTTTTATTTTTCTGTATATGTAAATTATTATTATATATAAATTATATATTTTTATTGTATATAAATTAAATGATATTTTTATTTTAATATTATTATATATTAATTCATATGTATTATATGTATATTATAATTATTAATATTATAATTAATATATTATATATTTATATATTAATAGACTCATTGTGCTTTCTCAGACAAACATTTTCAGCTGACATGAAGTGGAAAGAGTATATTGAATCAATTGCAAAGTCTGCATCTAAAAAAGTTAGTTCACTATGTTGTATTAGACAATTTTTCTTGCCAAAATCTATCTTACATGTTTTTAAGTCTACCATTCATCCTTGCTTTGAATATTGCTGGTCTGGTATTCCTGCTATATATTTAGAGATTCTTGATGAAATCCAAAGAAGAATCTGCAATGTTACTGGCTTTGACTTAACATCACAGCTTCAGTCCCTTTCCCACCCTGTAACATAGCTTCCCTGTGCCTTTTATATAAATATTAGCAGTAGAGCCCGGCGTTGCCCGGGAATGTAACAGTAAGAGATAGATCAAGTATCAACCATCATAAAGACTGAAAAATAAAATTGACAAAGATTATTGTTTAAGGTTGATGGACACACATGTCTTAATTAGTTTTTTTTTTGTTTTTTTTTTTACGAATTGGTCAAACCCAAACTCAAACAAAAATATTGTTTTCAATCGTTATGAGTTTACCGATTGAATAGAATTTTATTATAAACAATTGTCATGTAAATGGAATTTTTAAAGCATTCTGAATGTAAAAATAAAGAAAAAAGTGTGCAAGACAATAAGAAACACTACCTGCCAAAAAAAAAGTGAAGTTTTGTTGAAATCGGTTGAAAAATCTAGGAAATCCAATCCCATATATAAACACACACAAACAACTGGGTTTTATAATAAGTATAACTGGATATGAGTTGTCCCCCTTTCATTCTTGCGGTAGCAATGCCTCTTAATCATGTTTTCAAATTGATTTCGTGCAAAAACAATTGTTTTTCCAGTTTTTGGCACTGTCAGAACCACTGCAAGGTAATTTTACGTAGTCCTGTGAAGTTTTGTTGAAATCAGTTGAAAAATGTGGGAAATCCGATCCAATATATAAACGTACAGACACACACACACACAGACACACAACTCAGGTTTTATAATAAGTATGATTTTCATGGTAATTGTTATGATGAACTTTCCTTTATAGTATCTAGACTTTATCAATTCAATCACAGTATTAGATTGGTAAAAAGGTGTCATTATTTAACAGTTGAAATGGCTAGACATAACCGTAAGTTCTATGCTGACAGTTTCTTCTATCATACTTCTTGCTTGTGGAACTCACTTCTGGCTTCTTCCTTCCCAGTCAACTTTGAGTTTCAAAAATCTAAATGCAATATCAATTGTTATCCTCCATCTTCTAAATTTTTATTCTTTTATTGTTATCTCTCCTTAATAGTACTTTTTCTCATATCCTCTAATACTTAGTAACCTCTTTCATCCTAGTGACTTTATTGCCTTGCTTGGGTAAAATTATTAAAAAAAAAAAAAATTTGTTCAGAAAGGTGTCTATTTTGAATACCATAATGATTTCACCATTGTGTGTAGCATAATGTTTATTCGCAAGGAAAGTGAAATTGGTCAGTATTTTACAAAAATTCTCCCGCCTTCTTCAGCAGTCTTTTGTAGTTATCAAACCAACTACAACAAACATCTAAAACATTGTGACTAAAACAACCATGATGAGAACACAAACTTGATAAAATTGGTCTATAATAATGAAAATACTTAATTGCAGAATTCACATAAAAATAAAAAATTATTTTTTCATTTCCTTCAATGGTGAAGAGCTTAAAAGATAATTATTATTAACATTATTAATTTATATTGCAAAAGATATTGATGTACACATCAAAATAATATTTTTGTTTCTTTATCTCTTATAAAAATTTTATGAGAAAAAATTACAACTACCTACACTTACTATTTCTTAAGAGCAAAGACTTTGTTTGTATTCAGATGGGACTTTTCTTGATAAGCCTTGATTTTGATTATGTTTATGGTGATGCTGTGTCTAGTTCAGGGCAATAAAAACTGAATGTTCTGGGTGGGGGGTGAGAAAGGATTATTTTCCATGAATCAGAAGAATGGAATTCAAATTATGGAGCAATGGCCTAGTGGATAAAAGCATTGGTTTGTAAATTTGGTGATATAGTGGTTGTGAGTTCAATTCCTGGGGCAAGCAGTTTGTACTTGTACTCAGTGTAAATGGGCAAGCAATAAGTGAACAGTACTAAATAAAATAAGACATGTTGCAGTGTAACGAGTCTAACTTTGTAGAATAAATAAAGGGTTCAGTTCAGAATTCCCTGTAGGTTACCCTGATTTATATACGCGTGTGTAACAAAGAATTGGGTCAGCCCGATAAAAGACTCCAAGTTAGTTGTATGTGGTGTTGTAAGCACCACAAATTGTTGAAGGGGACATTCCACAATGGGCTGTTGAGAGAAGACCTTCTATTTAGAGTAGGTGGCACAGACCATTTGCATATGAATGATGCTGGACAAGTATTAGCCAATAGTCAACATGGGTCGGGGACTGGAAGAGCTATATAACACCAGTGTCTTTTTCAGTTGAGACAGGTGTTCTAGTGCAAAAACCAGATAAGACAAACACAGAAAGATGGAGGATACAATGGCTGAAATGTGATAACAACAACAATGATGAGGACAATAGTCTGAATATAAATAGTGTAAATAATGATAACTCCTCCTCCTCCTAGAAATTCAGAAAAAAATTATTGAATCATGATAATAACAACAAAGATGAGGACAACATTCCAAATATAAATAGTATAAATCACAGAATTCAAATCTGGGATAATTTGAAAAGAAAACTGAGTAAGATTAAATATAAACAAAGCTGTCAGACAGTGAAAATAAGTATTAAAAAATAGTCACACAAACATGGGGATAAGCATATCAATTAACATTTTCAGATCTTTGTCTTCCTTTTTATTCATGTATATTCTTATTGATTGTTTGAATTTAATTTCAACCTTTTGTTTTAACTCAACTTTGACAAGTGTTTATTTTTGTTGGTGGAAAATAATTTATTTGGAGTTAGATATAAATAATTGTCGACTATGTCACTAAAAGAATTTTTTTAATGGTGGGGAGAGTGGGAGAAGAGATCATGTCACTCCTTCTTCATGATTATTCATAAGGCGCAAAGTACAAATAAGACTCAAAACTCTGTAGTGAAACTTGAATGAAATTTACATTTATTGACAAGACATTAACAAATAGAATACAAAATGTACCTTTTGTGTGCCTTATTTTTATTAAAGAAAGATAACCAGTTCAAAAATAGAAATATGGGCTCATGAAAGCTGATATAAACATATCAACAAAACTTTCAACAATTGAGTTTTTTTGTGGGCTGTTCTGGTGATGCATTGACCTTGTCTAAATGTACTTCTTATTTTTTTTATATATGTTATTTTGTTTGGTGGTTAAAAAGACATCATCATCCCACAGTAGAATTATAAAAATTACAAACAAATCATATACAAAATACAGCACAATAAACATAGACAAAAACAATAAAATATTTTAGTATACATTTCAGAGAAATGACTGTATATTTAAAAAAACATATACATATACAAAGATAAAAAGTTTGTGCTTATCTGTTGGTAGCAACATGTTCTATCAGAGAACTGTCCCGGAGATCTACTGCCTTTGGCCATTGAAAATAAAGAGAGAAAATTTTTATTTTTGTTTCAATTGGCAGTAAAACACTTATTCAGGTGCATCATGGGAGTATTCTATATTTATTGAACTATTTTTTTATAATCTTATTTTTTTCTTTTATTGTTATTACCATTAACTGTATTTTAAAGTATTTTTTTTGCTTAACTCTTAATTTTTCTTTTATCATTAATTATTTTAGTTTCAGACTAATGCATAGTTTAATAATAGTGGTTGGGGTTATTTAGTAATTTATTTGTTGCTATCACTAGTTTCAATAGATATTCTTTCATAAAAGATATACTTACTTATTTGAAAGTGAAAACAGAGAAAGTTGGC